TACCATCTCGCCATCATGTAGTTTAAACGGGGTTTTAGTTTTTAACTTAAATTATATGGAATTGTTTTTATATGTCCTGCTGTTGCATTGTAACCCTCCCTGAACCTGCTTGCAGGGGAGGGCGGGATATAAAATTCACATAAATAGATCCCCAGCCCCCACCTGGAGGTTGGCATGGCAACCCTAAGGCTGGCATCAGCATACTTCTGGCAGAGCCCACCACTGGCCCCACCTGAGCGGTCCCTGCTTTAAAAACGCTAGGGGGCTGCCATAAATCAGCTGTGATGATTACTAAATAAATCAATCAATTCTAAAATAGGTGCCTTTAAGCTAAGTGTACCTAAGCGTGACTGGTGCCATTTTAATTTAATTTAGTTTTAATCCCAGAGGGGTCATCCTGTTTGTTTGTTATGGTGAAAATAAACAGGACTCTGGTGGCATCTAAAAAACTAACAATATTCTCTTCTATCATCATAAGCCCCCAGACCACAAATGTTTACGCTGGAGTAAAATGTTGTTAATCTTCCAAGTGTCACTGGATGTCTGTTTACTGATTAAAAGGTTGCCAACTGCCTGAAGAAAAAATGTCCTGTCCCTTTAATAGAAACAATGCAGTCGTATTTACCAGTTGTTACTGATGTTCATACCATGAAAAGCTTCAGTTGCCCGTTTTCACATATTAAGCTCCTATCAAAGAGTCAGAAAATTTTCCTCCGGGCCTGTTACAAACCTTACTGATACAATACTTCTTACTGTTTATTCATGATTTATCTGACAATCAGAGCTATTTTTGCTAACTAGACCTTACTGTGTGAGGGAATCGGGTGAGCCTATCCTTAGGCAAGATGAAGGGAAAGATTTGAGGATCCTAACAAGAGACAGGAAGTTATTTATTTAGCTTATTTTTTCATTTATTTTTTAAACAGCACAGCATGGTGATATGCTTTGAAATTTGTACTGAAGAACTCAAGCATCTCAATGTTTCTCGTTCAAGTTTTTGGTATTTTAGAGGGTTGAGAATGAGATAGGATATAGTGTAAACACAGAAAATGGATATAATGTTTGCATATGGAACTAAATGGACAGGGAAATGTGTACTTCAACATTCATATTTCAACTGTAGTTTGAGGTGGACATACTACCAAAACCCCATGGAAGTGACTTACTGTCATACAAGAACAGGGTATTTTTTGTTTTAACATGCACTTACATTTTACCACTAAATGTTGATAAGAAACAGAGGCTATACACCCCCATTTTAAATTTGTCTACACAGAGGTTTCATTAAATATGAAGGAATTTTGTGGCCATGTGATGGAGGAATAAGGAGCCCTGAAAGCCCGGGCTTCTCCTATACACAGCATTTTAGATTAGTCATGAATTCACATGATTGCTGTTTCCTGGTGTGTCAGTGACAAGGGTGGTTTTAGTCTTTCAGCACATGTTTTACCTACAAGTAGCCATTCTCTGGTTTTAACGATTTCAGACATGGGCCCCAATGTTAATGCCACAGGATAGTACGGGACCCACTGAAATGGAAGCATGTGAGATGTCATAGCTACATGACATCAGACTCACATGACAGGAAGAGGAGGAGCCAGTATTGTACATTCACCTGTGAGGGCACTCTGCAACCATATGTGAATGGCAGGGTATCAGAACTCAGTACAAGAGAAAACAGACAAGCAATGGTCTGCTTTCCTTGGTAGTCAGATGAAGGGCCAGAGACAAAATCACAGCCTGGGTAGGTCTAATATCGGGACCTACTGGGGAAAGTAGGAAGAGGTAACTTCAAGCTCTGTCTGGAATGGATCTGGTCATAATGTTGTCCAAGCTAAAGACATGGCTAGTGGGCTTTATAGAGCTGGGTGTTTCTTGATAGGCCCCAGCTGTCCTGTGCTGAGACCCAGTCAGGTGATGACCTGAAGCTGGAATGGAGATGACAGCCCTGTTGGTGTTAACTGGATCATCTTATACTTTTAGACAGCTTCTAGCCCTGTGGCACAGTTGTAGGTGCTGAGGCCTGGCTTGAGTCTTGTACAATGCAGCACTGGGGGGCTGACTGGTAGGGGAGGGTGGTTCAGGAGAACTGAAAGAAGGCAGACTAGCTTTTGCAACTGTGTGTGAGGGTTACTAAAGGGTCAGCTGGTATGGGATGGTGGCTGTGTTGGGCAGGGAGAGGTTTTGCAGTTCAGAGCGAGTTCTTTGAACCGGCTTGTGCCAAAATGGAGTCCTCTCTGCTGCTGTATCTTCAACTTGCCATTCTTTTCAGAATGCATGGAAAGAGAGGCGGGGGTTGTGATATCCTTGGTCTCAATCTGTATACTATAGCAGTAGTAGGACCCTCAAAAAGAGGCCAAAAATGGTATTTCCATAGGGGCTTGCAGCCCACTGGGTGGAGTTCTGCAGCCTAGCTGAAAGTCTCCACTTGGGGTTGAAGACCACTGCTCTAATTTGTTAGCAGAGTAATTAACACAGCAGAGGTGCACAAACTGATTAAAGCATAGTAAAGGTAAAGGTTTCCCTTGCTCGAAAGCCAGTCGAGTCCGACTCTAGGGTTGCGGTGCTCATCTCCGTTTCAAAGCCAAAGAGCCAGCGCTGTCCGAAGACGTTTCCGTGGTCATGTGGCCGGCATGACTGAACACCGAGGCGCGCGGAGCATAGATAAAGCTTTATTCAGGAACTAACATACTTGATAGTAAAGAGGAAGAGGAGAGAGAGAGAGAGAAAAGGTCCTAGCTACATCATTAGCTTTGAGAAGTGTGTTTGTGGAACTTCCAAAAAGAAGCAGGATATTGGCCTGAGCGTAGCAATCTGGAGGCAGACAAGGAATGACACTTAACAAGAGGGAATGTGCTGACCTCACTATCCTGTCTAACTGTTCTCTTGCTGCCCCCTGCAGGGTCTCCTGTCTTCTTTGTACATCAGACATTGCCTGTTCAACATAATTCACCTTTACGCTCTTGGATACAGTTAAGAGAGGATTCTGATATTAACAAAGCTACTTGGAGAATGTGCTTTTAAACTACAGTGAAGAATACTGGTGATGGGATATTAATGTTTTCCATGTGCTTCAGATGAGCAGAGGAACGGCTGTAAAGTAGTGGCATACCTTGCAGTGTGTGAAGCAGGTAGGTAATACAGAGGGCTGAACAAAACTGTCAAAACTTTGTCTCACCCAGCACAGCAAGCTCATGTGAGATACCAAAACATTACAAAGTCATGTTTCACTCTGTTTTATTTTTATAGTGTTTCTTTTCAATGGAATACTGCTCAGTTTGGCCCAAGGAGACATAAAACAAAGAGATTTTTTTTTGTAATACGTATATTTAATGTAGGTAGAAAATTACATTATAAACTAGAATTAACTTTGCAACAGGTTTAAAGAACTCTTACTAGAAAGTATAAAGAACAGATATAAAAGAAATGGTTCAACAACATGTATATTTAGACTTGGCTGACAAATGGCTTTGTGAAGGTGCCCAAACTTGAGATCTGCTCCTTTTTGTCTTCATTGTGCTCATAATGCACAGGGCCACATTACTGGTACTGTAATGCAGAAGTGTGGCATGGACACATGACATTTGGGGGGTGAAGGAGACAAAGGAAAGCACGTACCATGACTGGAGTTACACATCAAAATAGCCCTGAATCATTTTAATTGGAGCTGCATACTCGGCTTTAAAAGGCCTTATGTGTAAAGTAAAGGTTACCAACGGTCCTGGAGAAAAATGTCCTGTCCCTTTAATACAGGCTTAATGTGTGGAAATGGGCTGCAGAGCCTTTTAATGGCACATTAAATAATGCCCACTCTATTCAAGGGTCAGGACCAGTGTTCCCTCTAAGCTGAGTTAGCGTGAGCTAGCTCACAGTTTTTTAGCCTCCGACTCACACATTTTTGCCTTAGCTCAGGAAGGATGGCTCCAGAGCAAACTAATTGATGCAGCAGCCAAATCACCTGCTCACAACTTTAATGCCAGTAGCTATCAAAGTAGAATTTTTGCTCACAAGACTCCACACCTTAGAGGGAGCATTGGTCAGGACCCTTTTCCCCCCTCCAAGCAATTGGTAACCCCACTTAGGTCCCTATTGGAAAATCAGTCTATTGGTGCAAAACATCCCTGTATGCTGCAGAATACATCTGAAATTAATTGTGTACATATTTCCTGTTTCACTTTTCGGACATACAAGCCAAATGCTAAGAAAAACAGCGTTTGATAGAGTCCTCAGGTTAGCTACATACCTTTAAACTTGTTTCTTTTTACTGAATATAAAGATCAGTGAGTTTTTTAATATGAAAAATTCCTTCTCTGCTGGTCTGTTCTGTAGACTGAGCTTTGGTGTACTTAACTAAGGGAGAATATGCTGTATTTAAAAGTAGATAGTATTTTTGAGATCTTCCTGCCTAGTAAGAAAAAAAATCATATTGTGAATAAAATTGCACAAACATTTAAAAACTAATTCTAAATATAAAGTAATAATCTATAATCCCAGGTTTCCACACCTCCCTCTTGTCAGCAGCCTGGCAATACATTAGGAAAACATTTCCGACTCTGATTAAATAAAAAATGTATCAAACCTTTGGTTGGTTTGTCACCTTCCCCCCTTCGAAACTCAGGCTAGCTAAAGTCTACTCTCTTTTTACTTATCGTTTTATAATGCATTCAGGGTTAAACAAGATGAAATGCCAAGAGATTTATGAATGGATCAGGAAAACAGGGATTAGCCTTTTACTAAACTCAGACACTCCCTTCCTTCCCCCTCCTAGCTATTTGTCTAGCAGTTAAAATAAATTACACTATCAGATACAGGTGTGTAGTGGAATATATAATTAAATGATTGTTTGTAACCACCCATAAACCGTAATATATACCTGTTCTATCTCAAAATTACCACTATGAAATCTCCATTTCCCTAAATTGTCCATTGTTAAATTTCTTTTTTCTACACTTAACTGCCCATGTTGCATTTTCAAGGAAAACAGAACCAATTTGCCATACCTAGAAATTCTTCTTGTAAAGCTGTAATGCTTTCTCAGCTACATATTCAGTGAATTCGGTACTGTGTGTGTCTAATTCCTGGGGAACTTTAATTGTGAAAGTAGGTGAAGTCAAAATATTCACATCTACTGTTGTTTCATTCAGACCATCAGAAGAAACCTGAAAGGGAACAGCTTGATATGATGTCTTCATATTGTTTTTAAATATATATTTAAATAACTTCTCATTTGTTAATAACACATGACATGGGTTGTTTTCAAGTCAGTCCAATATTTTGTTAAATTGCGTTACTTTGGCTACCTTATACAGAAGGCTGCAATTAAAGGATGCCAGATACAATTCGTCTACACTGTGAGCTCCAGAATTCCTTGTCAGCTGTGGGCAGTGCTGGCAGTAAATATCTTTACCGGATTATAGACTGGAATGAGTGAAGAGATTTATGGGTTGAGAAACAGCTAGTCTTTCCAAGCAGAACTAAAAGAACAACAACCAAAACCCTCCATACAGTATGCTATTCTCAAATATTGCAAAAACATTAGGATATTTTGCATGTATTATATGTTAGTCTTTAAAGTTAGCCTGGGTGTTATGTTGATGTTGTTTGTTAGATATATCAAACCAATTTAAGGGTGTCATCCAACTCTTATTTAGTTCAGGGGCACAGAGACAGACTATACAGCAACCAAACAAACAGTGGAAGGAGTTTATTTGGAAGCTTCAGGAATGTTTACTTGGAAGTAAGTCATAGGATACAAGGGTCTTGACTGCAGCCAAAGGGAGGAATTTTAAGCAGGTCTACTCAGAAGTAGGTCCCATTTTTATTCAAAAAAGTGTTCTTAGGATTTCAGCTTTAGGCTAACAATTTTTGAGGCAGCCACTGGAAAATGTTGAAGGTCCAATATGACATACAGCATATAAAGTGATAAAATTCATAACAGCCTCCTTGACTTGTACTCTGACTTTGTTATATTGACCTAAAGAAGATATTTGAATTACATGTCAGCCACCGGCAACATTCTTGAAAAGTAACCTAAAGGCATTAAAACCTGTTAGTGCCATTTTATTCCTCTCAGATGGTGATACAGGTCACTTACCCATCACGCTAAAAGGATTTAGAGTAGGCTAGTGGCTAAACTGTGGGATGTCAGATTACCAAGGGATTATCAAGTATACTTAAAATCTGCCTCAATAAGAGCTTAGTATTTTAAAGACCAAAAATAACACACACACATTCCCCCAGGTACTACTGAATTAGTAAATGTCACTGAACTATGGAGAACAGAAACATCACTGTGCTGTGGTCACTTCCATTTTTAATGTATGGCATTTACCTTTACTATATTGAAAATGTTTTCTGGTTCAATGGTCTTGTCGGATAGCTCGGACACCCATCCAAACCTTTCTTTCATTTTATTCAACGAGTAGGCTGTATCTTCGGTGTGATATTGGACCAATTGGAGAATCTGTCGATACTGCTCAGCAGAGATGTTAACCAGCTTAAAGGCATCGTCAAACTTTATATGTAGCTCAGGGACACCAGGGCAGACTGTACAAGAATCAAACATTGTTTAGGAGGTTTCAGAAACAGTCTAATGTATGTCAATTATTATTATTATAGTTATGTTTGGGGGGGAAAGCACACCTAAGAATCTGCAGGAAATAAACACATTTTGTGTTTTAATTGATAATAATACTGCTGCTCATTAGAGTAGTTATTCACCTGCTTTCCATGTAATGCTTCAGTTCTCAGCACATTTTGTTGTAAGTCTTGTGGTTCCAAAATACAAAAACTATTCTGAAAACTATTTTACCAGTTTTTGCCTTCAGCAAACTATTTTTGCCTTCAGAAAACTATTTTACCAGTTTTTGCCTTCAGCAATAGTAGCATTGGTAGTTTAGCCTATGCAGCTGGATCCTGTTACGGCTTTGTCGTATGTATTGTATTGTAGCAATGAATCTTGGATTGAATGCAGTAACTTCAAGCCAAGTGAAGGCATTTGAGACAAATATTAATAGCACTGGTAACAGCTGGACACCACCATAATATGAACTTATTGTGTGTGTGTGTGTGTTAACTGCCATCAAGTTGCTTCTGACTTAGGGAGATCCTATGAATTAATGACCTTAGAAGTGTCCTATTGTTACCAGCCTTATTCAGACTGAGGGCTGTGGCTTGCTTCATTGAATCAGTCCACCTGATGTTGGGTCTTCATCTTTTCCTGCTGCCTCCAACATTTCCTACCTTTACTGTCTTTTCCACTGACACTTATCTTCTCATGATGTGACCAAAGTACAATAGCCTTAGTTTGGTCATTTTAGCTGCTAGAGAAGAGTTCAGGCTTGATTTGATCTAGAACCCACTTATTTGTCTTTTTGGCAGTCCACGGTATCCGTAAAACTCTCCTCCAATGCCAAATTTCAAATCAGTTTTCTTCTTGTCAGCTTACTATGCTTATTATATGTTTTGCAATCTTTTTCTTTCTATTTTAACAGAGATTTGGAAGGCATGTTATAATTCCATTTTACAGCATGGAACTGATTTGTGGCATGGTCATTTGTCCTGTTTCTTGGTTTGAATCAAGGACTGGTTGTGGAGGCACCTGCACTGGCAATGGAGCATGTACAACTGTTTTCTCTGCACTTTTATTCTCTTAGCCTCCTGCTGCTACTATCATTTCTCCCTGACCCACCAGAGGACTTGGGGGAGGGCTTTTAAAAATTGATAATAGACATATTGCTATAGCACAATAACAACTTTATCATGAGCCATTGCCAAGATCTACTAGTTTCTAGGACTCTGGTATATGTTTCTCTAGAATGTAATGGGATAGAAACTTACTATTTTTAAAAGAAAGCTGGGAACTGGTAGATCACAATAAAAGATTCCTCCAACTTTATTGTGCTATGGTGATGTGATAATTACTGATTTTTTTAAAAAACCCACCCTTCAGTGGCACAGGGAAAATGGATGCAGGGGACGGAGACAGGGAAAATGGTGCTGATATGGGTGGAATATGCAAAAATGCACACCTTCCATAGCGCATGGTGTCTGAATAGACTTCAACTATGATTTTCCAAACAGATCATACCAAACTAGGTTTGGGAAAGCTCCCAGCAAAGTGAGGGGAAACAAGACAAACGAGGATGACATCATGTGGGTGCTCCTGAAAACAAAGCTACAGCTAAGGGAGCCAAAGCAGAGTAAAACAGTCATGTGGAAGCAGCCAAGGTCTTCCAAAGACCAACACACTGTCCACTGAAGGGGCTCATGCCTCTTCTGGACCTGCAGCAGCAGGTGAAAACTTCAGCCAGAAAGAAATGCTTCAGATTAATTAAAATTAAGTGCAATGACAATTTAAACCAAACTCGTCGAGATTTCTCTTGCGCCTTTCTAAATGCACCAGCAGAATCAGGAAGTGGGAATGAAAAGAACAGCTATGAAACACATTAACTATTTTGGGTCACCAATACACAATTATGTATTTTGGGCTGAGTGACAGGAGGAGTAGAACTGCATCCACCTGTGATTTCCAGTACAGGCAGTCCCCCCCCCCTTCTTTATAATTATGCAGGTTTATGATATAAAGTTTATATTTATTTAGAAAATTGGTATGCCAGCCATCAAGATCTGTCTATTGCTGCTCACAACTGACAACTAAAACAAAAAGTTAAAATGACTCAATAAAAACAAATCATGCCAATAGAAACAAGTCATGCCAATAAAATGAATGAAAACAAGTCAACCCAATAAAAACAAGCTGGAGCACAAAACTCATGAAACAGAGCAGTCTAAAATGGCATTCATAAAAGTCTTCAGTCAAGAAATGGACCACAAAACAGCTCAAAGAGGTGGAACTCCTTAGTTAAAAGCCTGGGTTAAGAGAAATGCCTTCGTCTGGTACCTAAAGGAAAAGAAGTTAGGTGCCAGGCAAGGCCCCAAGGGGATGGTATTCCAAAGGCAAGGCACCACAAGCAAAACAAAAACAAAACCTGTCTCTGCAGGCAAGAAAAGAAAAGTTGAGAGAAGGCAGGCTGGACAATGCAACAGGAGATGGACCTTCCAGTACAAAAAAAAAGGCACTGTAGTATTGAAATAAGCAGTGAAGTAGCTAAATTTGCGAATGATACAAAGTTGTTTAGGATGGTGGAAACCAGTGAGGATTGTGAGGCACTCCAAAGGGATCTGTCAAGGATGGGCAAGTGGGCATCAACATGGCAAATGGGGTTCAGTGTGGCCAAGTGCAAGGTGATGCACATTGGAACCAAAAATCCTAAATATAAATACACACTGATGGGGTCTGAACTGGCAGAGACTGATCAAGAGAGAGATCTTGGAGTTGTAGTAGATAACTCACTGAAAATGTCAAGACAGTGTGTGACTGCAATAAAAAAGGTGAATGCTATGCTGGAGATTATTAGGAAGGGTATCGAAGACAGATCAGCCAATATCATAATGCCCCTACATAAAACAAGGTGCGACCTCATTTGGAATACTGTGTGCAGTTCTGGTCACCACACCTTAAAAAGGATATTATAGCTTTAGAAAAAGTGCAGAAAATGGCAACTTGAATGATAAAAGGGTTGGAACACTTTCCCTATGAGGAAAGGCTAAAGCGCTTAGGGCTCTTTAGCTTGGAGAAACGACGACTGAGGAGAGACATGATTGAGGTTTATAAGATTATGCATGGGATAGAGCAGGTAGAGAAAGAAGTACTTTTCTCCCTTTCTCACAATACAAGAACTTGTGGGCACTCCATGAAATTGCTGAGCAGTCGGGTTAGAATGGATAAAAGGAAGTACTTCTTCATCCAAAGAGTGATTAACACATGGAATTCGCTGCCACAGGAGGTGGTGGTGGCTACAAGCGTGGACGGCTTCAAAAGGGAATTAGATAAGCATATGGAGCAGAGGTCCATCAGTGGCTATTAGCCACAAGGTATAGATAGGGGCTCTGGGGCAAGTGATGCTCTGTCTTCTTGGTGCTTGGGGGGGTCAACAGTGGGAGGGTTTCTACTGTCCTGGCCCCACTGGTGGACCTCCTGATGGCACTGGTATTTCTGGCCACTGTGTGACACAGAGTGTTGGACGGGATGGGCCTTTGGCCTGATCCAACATTGGCATCTCTTATGTTCCTAAATGTTTACTAAATGATTTAACTGAGTTTTGTTGATCAAGTTTATCAAGCCTACAAATCCAAAATTAAATCAAAGTCATAATAGTTTGTACTTGAGCTAGGGTTGCCCGGTCCCCCCCCCCCCGGCTACCAGGGGGCACAGGGTTTCCAGCTCCAGGCTGGAAAACTCCTAGAGACTTGGGGTGGAGCCTGGGGAGGACAGGGACCTCGGTGGGTTACAGTGCCAGAGTCTATACTTCAAAGCACCCAGTTTCTCTAGAGGAACTGATCTCTGTAGTCTAGAGATTAGCTGTAATTTTGAGAGATTCTGGCATCCCTAATTGAGCATAGAGTATTATGCAGTATTATAGTTAAACCAGAGGTGGTCAGATAATTGTTTACCTTGCAAAAGAGAATCCTGACATTTCCAGCATCTCTCATGAAACTCAGGACAACCTGATGAATTCTGGCGCAGTTCATTACATTGAGCTCTTTCCCGACCTAGCACAATCTTAGAGAACATTCCATTTTTGTCAGAATCTAGAATGAACACACACATAATATGCATACAGTATCATTAACATATATTATCATTTTAATGCTATGTTAAATAACATCAATGCAGTTTACCATTCTGGCAGTTTAAAAATCAATATAACCATGGAATAACCCCATTAAAGAATGACATATTTTGGGGGGGCCAAGCTACACATGGTGGCAATTCCAAGGGTTTGTATATAGAATTACCCCAATCATATTGAAAGAGTAGCAAGGGGAAACAATAAAAAAGATACATACATAAGTAAAGTAGAACCCTCCTCCATTTCCTGTTCTGTCTTACTGCCACCCCAGTCAAGTAACTCTTCTCTGAGGACTCATTTGTCATTCTGCAGCTCCAAATGGGAAGAGTGCCTGAAGACAGGTAAGGTGTATGTGTGTGGGGGGGGAATCTTAGAGGTATGCACATTGCTGGTTGTGTTTCATTACTGCATTATGCATTTATTCATTTTCTACATTCCATTGGTTTGTGTGAGAAGCACATTTTCATCTGTAAGAGTTTCATTTTCCATCCAGTCTGAATGAAATTCCCTGGGATAGAATTCCTCCCAGCCAACTGACAAGTGGATAGAAGAAAGAATCCAAGTTTTCTAGGTAATTAACAAGGCATTCCTAAGCAGAGTTACAATTTCTAAGACCATTGACCTCTGTGAGATCCAGTTGGATTGCACTGTAAATTTCTCACTTGCTAAGGGGCACCTCCAGGAGGCACTATTACAGAATAGGTTGATGGAGGCATTGGCACCCAAAGTAAGGCAGGGACAGTTAATGCAGTAGTCAGAGGCTTGTATTTTGCTAAACAGTGGAAGCTGACGAAGTTATAGGGAAAAAAACAAAAAAGTGAACAGGACCTAGCAATTTAGATAGTAAACACAAACACCAGATTGCTGAACAAGTTCATGATATAATAAATTGACAACAAATACTAATAAAGTTGTTATTATACTTAAACAGGTGAAAATATCAAGAGAACAAGGTCTCGACACAGGCAGGACGAACCTTCCCAGGCTTGACTGTCCGTTTCGACTTTTCGTCTTCATCAAACGTCAGTTTGTAGATGTTTGTCTTCAATAACTCCAGATGGGAATTGTTTACTGTAAGAGCTTTTAGTAGCCACCTTCGAAACTATGCACATATTGTTGAAAATCATGTATTGAAGACAAACATCTACAAACTGACGTTTGATGAAGACGAAAAGTCGAAACGGACAGTCAAGCCTGGGAAGGTTCGTCCTGCCTGTGTCGAGACCTTGTTCTCTTGATATTTTCACCTGTTGAAGTTATAGGGAAGACAGAGAACATCTGGCGCCTCAAGAAGGGCAGGTAGTAGGACAGGGTGAGGATCAAAGGCAACAGAATGGAGCAGGTACAGGGAGAATTTGGGCACTCTTAAAACAACAAATGTGAGTAGATTATGAAAACCAAGCAGCAGAATGATAGCACTTGTTAAATCATTTTAAATCTGTGTGCACAAACAGACTGAATATTGATGTGAATTCACTACAGATATTCACAGTGACATACCAGACAGTGAAACTTAGAAGTAGAGTACAGAACAGACACTACAGGTGACTGCAAGATATATGAGAAAACCCCACAGGCTAACATTAGCAACATTGGCTCACATTCTAGCAAATACAAGAAATGAATAACACTTTTTCATATAGAAGAAAGTTTGAGTCCAGTGGCACCTTTAAGAACAACAACGTTTAATTTTGGGTATAAGATTTTACGTGCATGCACACTTCTTCAGAAAGATTTATTTAAGCCTTACATATAGGCAGAGGGAGGGGGTTAGTTGCCAGGAAGGGCTAGTTAGAGTCAAGATGCATAAGTAACTGGGCGATTATAGCTGAGATGGGATTAAAGCAGTTGGTAAGACCTGTAAATGGCAGCAAATTAGCATACAAATACAAGAGTTAACAAACAGATTCGAGAACTACATTTGAGTCCAGTAACCCCTCCAAGACCAACAAAGTTCAATTCTGGGTATAAGTGAGAACTGAGAGACTTAGCATATGTAGATGCACATTTCTTCAGATACAGGAAACAGATTTCTTCTAGCCTTACATATAGGTGTTGGGGAGATAGTTGCCAGGAAGGGCTAATTAGAGTCAAGATACATAAGTACAGCTAAGATTGGAATAACACAGTTGGTGAGATCTGTGAATAGCAGCAAATTAGCATACAGATAATGAAAGAGCTAACAGATGTGAGAACTAAGTTTGAGTCCAGTGACACCTTTATGACCAATGAAGTTTAATTCTTCCCAGATTCTTCCAGTTTTAGCTGTATTTATGCTAATTTGCTGCCATTCACAGGTCTTATCAACTGCTTTAATCTAATCTCAGTTATCGCCCTGTTACTTATGCATCTTCACTCTAACTAGCCCTTCCTGGCAACTACCCCCCCCCCATATGTAAGGCTTGAGGAAAACTGTTTCAATGTTCCTGATGAAGTGTGCATGCACACATAAGCTTATATCCAGAATTAAACTTTTTTGGTCTTAGAGGTTCCACTGGACTCAAACTTTGTTCTATTGCTTCCGACCAACACTTTTTCATATGGGTGTTTTCCACATAGGGGCAGTCTTGTGTAGTTTCCCTGCTACTGCTGCAGCTGGAAATACAGAGTAGTGACAACAGGGCTTCCAAACAACATGTTTCCCTGGTAGGTTTTAAATCAGTGAGTTAATAGCATTAAATCAATATTCTATTATACTAACATTTGCATCAGGTTATTTGAGCTTCCAGGTTTCTTTTTGCTTTTTAAGTTTCCAGCCAGTTTTTTGGTGGAGATCTGTTTTTCCCCATATATTTCTGATTTAAAAAGAAAAGAAAAACCCTCTGGAGTAGGGAGAGAAAATGGCTGCTGGGGGGTGAACTAGGAAAATCTGAACTTTTCCACCCACACAGCAGCCACTCAGTAATGTCTAAAAGAGTTTGGAGTTAAGCAGGTTTGAGAAAGATTGGAGAAAAGCCAAGGAAACCTTACATGGTGCACAATTGCGCCATCATGCTGTGGGGAAGAGGGGAAAAACCCACTTCCCAACAGCATCAGACACATATACCATGTATCTGCAGCAGTTATGCAATTTACGACATATTTGCAGTGGCAACAGATGTTCTCTACAGTATCCCTTCATACTTCTCATTCCCTCCCATGCTGCTGGTGAACTTTTTGCTTGCTTTATTTTAAAGTAGCTATGTTGTTATAGTATTATAGGGTATAATGCCATAGAGTCCACCCTCCCAAGCCATTTACTCTAGGGGAACTGGTCTCTATAGTCTGGAGAGCAGTTTTAATTCAAGGAGATCTCCAGGCCCCACCTGGAAATTGGCAAACCTATCCACAACCCTAGAAAACTATAGCAATATATATATAGCCTTTAAAAAAAGAAGCAACCCCCCCAGTGGCAGTGGGGAATGGTAGATGCAACAGAAAATGGCAGTGGATATGGTATCAGATGCAGAAATGCACTCCCTGTCCACATTTTCCCAAAACCTGCTTTTGGTATGAGCTTAAGCTATATGACCTTAAGTGATGTTGGGCAGAAGCTCCCCAAAGAACCATAGCAGTTGGAGGGGAGGAACACCGAGCCAGAACTCCATGTGGAAGCAACTTTGGTTTCAAACAAGGAAAAAGTCAGTCAGGCACAGGCAGGGCTATTTTGGGGCAGGAACGCACGGGAACGGAGTTCCGGCTGGCTTCAGAGTTGGCCACACCCACTACAGGCAAAACCTCTGCATGCGTGGCTACAGAGGGAAGGCCTGGAGAGCGACACCCCCCCCCCGACAACTCCAAGGCAGGCAGGCCAGGGGGCACCCTGGAAGGATCGGGGAGGCATTTAAATGCCTCCCCTCCCCTCCAAGGGCCGGTTTGCCCGGGCTCCCCACATCTGTGGGGCACCTGGGCAAGCCAAGGGAAGGCATGGGGTGTGGCCTAATATGCTAATGAGTTTCTGCTGTTGGGTGTGACCTATTATGCTTATGAGTTCCTGCTGGGCTTTTTCAACAAAAAAAGCCCTGGGCACAGGTGATCACTGGGGATGCTGCTTACATAGAATCAAGACAGTTTTCCCTAAACCAGGAGTGATTGGTCGAATTGGTGTGACGAGGAAGACCATTTATGGGAGGGGGGGAATATTCCACGAACTTTTAAAACTTTATTCCCTGTCAGTTTCATTCTCCCCTGACTCTCTTCCCCATCCCGGAATCTGAACTGAGCATGAACTCCAAACGAAGCATTCAGATGCCAAAATAATGACTATTAATGAACTTTCCCTGTTCATTTTTATAACAATGATAATGAGCAGGATTTTCTTTCAATTTTTCATGAGTTAATAAATAAGTGTACACT